ACTCTACCAACAGTTCAGGAAAGTTGTGTTAGGGTTTTACCCTGGAGGAGAAATTTATCAGTGTAAATAGGGCAATGACAGAGCACAGCTAAGCTGTGTATGCAATCAACTCAACTCGCTCAGAGCTCACACCTGAAAGGTGTGGCTACATGACACAACACAAATCACAGTATATAGTAAGGTACACCATGGGTTATGGTGTGGCTGGTGTTTGGAGTTGTGGCTGGTAGGTTGGTGTATTGTAAGTTCTGTATAGATTGTACAGTAAAAGTCTGTGTATAGTTTTCTACAAACAGACTGTGGACTAGTTATTTTGCAACGCTCACGGAGCACCTCAATGCGGTGTCTATGCTGACCCCTGACATAACAGAGATTTTTTATTACTTTACAACCTTAACATGGGGGTGGGTAACTGCACTGCTGAGTTTGGGCATTTGCAAGTTGGAGGAGCTGTCAGCTGCCCGTCTTCACTCTACTGCTTACAAAAAGAAGCCATAGTGTTACCATACCTGTGAGCTAAGCCTCCCTAGACTAGTTCCAACAAGAGGAATTTACTGCCAGTTCTCAATCCGTTTGATGAATGAGAAGTTGCTTGAGAAATACTTTTAAAGACAATTTCATGAATGAAAAAGAGCCTCCTCACACTTATTGAGTGATGAAGTAGCTGAGGGGCATGTGTGAAAGTCCTGCCTTTCATTGTATAATTCTCCAGCCTCCCTATCCCATTCAGTCTCGGGGATAAACAGCTAAGTGGAACTCCTGTCCATGGGCTTTTTTAACATTACTGTCACTGTTAAGGGAGAGGCCTACCTATGAGACTTGGTTAGAAATGACCTCTTTCTGCTGGAAGAAAAAAAAATATCACAGATTTTGATCATCCATATTCTCTAACCACAAATCTGGTAAAGAATTTTGAGGCCATTTGTACCTAGTTCTATGTTCAGAGATACTATTTCAATTAGGAACAACTGATTCTAACAATAATTCATCATTTTAGCCCTTCAAAATGGGAAATATCAAACTCGTTAATGATTAGGTGGTCCCAACTCATCTTTAAAAACTATATAATTTCAACAACGAGGGGAAAAAAACACCATGAGTCACACCAATTCCCATAAAACTGAGTTTTCAAACTTTGCAAGGCTGTGACCCCTTCAGATTTCAAATAGAATTGACCTTTCTCTGTTAACACAAATTTAGGAATCTGCTCTGAGTAATACAATTTAAGTAACGTTAAACTGAAACCCTTGAGAAATGCAATGGTTTTGGAATGCAAGTCTGACAGGGAAAAAAAGGTTCCATATAAAGAATTCCCTTTGAGCTGGATGGCATTTCTTGATAGTAAAAGGTTAGAAAATTTGCTTTAGTCAGAGAACTGAAGACAGAAGGAGAAATAGCTTGATATCCATCTTTAAGTGTGGTTGGTGAAAGTATGAGTGCTTATGCTTTTTTTGTTTATTTAAACTCCCCCTTTTTCTTTAATATTGTTAATATGGAACATATTCAGATAATTAAAACAATTTTAAAAGCTTTACTATTTAAGAGGCATCAGCTGCAGTCCTAAACTCACTGGCCACATTTCTGCTTATGGTTAGGTAAATGTAACGGCCACATTTCTGCTTATAACTGAATAGATGCAATTCAGTTTTGTGCCCAGAGTCCTACTGAATTCAAGAGATATATGCATGCATACAAATTTGGGAGACATTTTCATCCATAGACTATAATTATGCACATCAGGTTCTGTTAAAAAGGAATCAATATAAGTTAAATTCCTCATTAGGTGCTTAAGTCCCAGAATTTTCAGTTTAAGGAGAGCTAAACCCAAAACTCCCATTTTTCTGCTTTGCCTGGGCGTGCTGTGTAATAGTATGTGGGAATGACCTTGGGAGACAGGAGGAAGAGCCGCAGAGTAGGCAATGGTCAGATAAGAGGCAGCTGAGTCCACAGGAAGAATGTGGGTGTGGCAAACGTCTCAGAAGGGACCCTCCCTAGTTTATTGGACTGTAAAGGTGATGGGAAAGGGGGACGCGGTGGCCCAGAGGCTTAATGACGCTGAAAGTTGCCGGCCAGAAATGGTCGACGCTTCAGCGGTTCGAGTCCAGCCTTCG